GGCTGGGACTATGTCGTCTGAAGGTTTGTCTAAGGCTGGAGAGTTAGAAGCTGTCAAGGAAGAGGAAGTCTCATTACCTGGAGTTGGACTTGGTTTCCTTGCTCACTATACATAAGATACTTTAGTTCGTTGTCACATTATCCTTGCAATAGGGTTTCTCATGATACAGTAGTTGGCGTCCCCTATATCAAGTGATGTGCGAGAGAGAAAAGAGGAAGAAGCCGTGCTATCTTTTATGATTTAGCCTTAGAAGTGGCATATTATGATTCCCACTGTATTCCATTGGTGACACAGATCAACCCTGGTACAATGTGGAAGGAAATTATACAAAGTTATGTACACCAGAAGATAAGGATCATTGGCAGACACACTGCAGGTTGGCTAACACACATACTTTATGGATTTTTACCTTTTACAATGAACTGATAAGACACAACTGGTTTTGTATAGTGAAATTAATAAGTACATTTACAACTGCTAAGATGTGATAAGGCAAAGTGGAGAGTAGGGTTTGTGCCTACATATTCTCATTTTAGCCATTTTGGCAGGGGTTGGCAAACTATGACCTACAGACTAAATTTACCCCACCATCTGTTTTTATAAAGTTCTTTTGTAACACAGCCAAACCATTCATTTATGTATTATCAGTGTCTTCATTTGCACTACCATGGTGGAGTTGAATAGTTGAACAGAGACTGGCCAACAAAGTTGAAAATATTTACCATCTAGTTCTTCAGAGAAGGCTTTCTAACTCCTACACTAAAACATAAAGAGAAAAAATTCAGAAGGTCCAAAATTATGGAAATGAAAAAGGGGGTTTAAATGTTCCAAAGAGGGGCTCCAGGGTGGCTCAGGTTGGTTAACTGTCTGCCTTCAGCTCAGGTCATGATCCCAGGGTCCTAGGATTGAGCTCCATGTCAGGTTCCTTGCTCAGCGTGGAGTCTGCTTCTCCCTCTGCCTGCCACTTCCCCAGCTTGTGCTCTCTCTCTCTCTCTAACAAATAAATAAATAAAATCTTAAAAAAAGATAATGTTCCAAAGATTTCCAGGTTTAGATAATTGAAAGAAATCATAAGATTTTAGTAAGCATACCCATATAAGGCTTTTTTAAAAGGCACATAATATAATACAGCAGGAGAAAATTCAAATAAGCAGTTGGGGACGAAAAAACCATGTAGGAACAAGCTCCCCAATGTTCTTACTTCTACAAAGACATGATTCATCTCTGAATAAAACTGCTGATATTTGTGCTGATTCTTATATGCAAAAACTTGGTTTTAGGAGAGCTCAGACAGAAGTTTCCTGCATAGTCTGGTTATATGGCAGAGACAGGATATATAACTAATTATCTCAAGTATGTTATAAATAAACAAATTGGTTCTAGGTTCCACACAGGAAGTTTGAACTTTTAAAAAATTTACCATTAGTTTTTATGCTAGTTAGTTTTTATGTTAACTGACTTAGTTACTTAGTTAGCTAGCTCACTGCCCTACATGGCCAAGAGTCAAAAATCAACTCTCAAGCATCCTTGGAGATAAGCAAAGAGCTGTCTCAATCCAGCTATACAAAAACTTTGTCTTTAATAAGCAAACTTAGATGTCAGTCGTGGAGGAACTAAGAATTAATACATTGGAAAAAAATTTTTAAAGTATTATTTGTCCTGGCATATATGAATTCAATTCTTAGTTATCTTATCAGGAATCAAAAGGCAATGTTTAAATTCAATAAACTATGTAGAAGCACTTACAGCATATTTTTAAGGACTATGTTGGTATGGTAGGCAACTCTAAGATGACCTCAAAATTCCCATGCCCTGGTGTACATATGTATAATCATGTGCCCTTGAATTTCAGTGGGATTTATGAAGATGATGGGTTGTTGCTCTGTGATTAGATTACATTAAATGGAAAGATTAGGCTATTTCTTGGACGTAACAAAGGTTCTAAATTAATCAGTTTTCAGTTAATCAGAAAGAAAATATTGTGGGTACAGCTGACCTAATCAGTTGCATACTTAAAAAAGACTCTAGAAGTAAGAGAGAAAGGAGTGCTTTCCTTCTGGCCTTGAAGAAGCAAGCATCCACGGTGTGACCGTCTATGAAGAGGGGCAGCCACTGGGAGGCAAGGGTCTCAGTTCTACAACCATAAGGAACTAAATTCTGCCATCAGCCTGAATAAACTTGGAAGAAGACTCAGTTTTAGATGAGAATTCAATGTGGCCACAACTTGATTCTAGTCTTGTGAAGCCCTGAGCTAAGGACTAAGCCACGCTCAGCTCCTGATCCATAGATACTATGACATACAAACATGTGCTGTTTTAAGTTTCTAAATTTATCATAATTTGTCATGCACCAATACATTCAGAGTAATACACTTAGGTAACAGGATAAAATTAAGGAAGGATAAGCTAACTCTTGGCAATATTATTTTGTTATTGGGGGGGTGGACATTCCCTCACCCTCTTTCATTAGTTTTACATTCAACACTGAGATATTCACTCAACTAGATCCTTCCATGTGCATTAGCCCATTTCATAACAAAAAAACAAAGAACAAAAGAAAAATATTTCTCCCCAGAAAATATATCAGAAATCATGTTAGAAGAGAAAACAGTTATATAAAAGAAGTCTTTCCTATCCCAATGATGACAAAGATATTTTCAGGATGAAGGAAGAGTAGGAGGAAGACTAATTAAAATAAAATGGGTCTAATGGTCATGGACTCAGTGTCACTAACATGATGGGATCATGCTGTGAGAAGGCACCCTAATGTGGAAGACTAGTATCTTCCTTTCAATCCAGGAGTTTCCATCATAAATGTCCTGAAATGATATGGGAATTGAAAAAACCACCTAAGCTATAATGGGAGGCTACAGGAATTTTCCTCTCTCAGTAGAGACAATTTTTTTTACATAGATGACTCTCTGAAATTAGATATAACTCATCATATTTAGCACCTTCTGTTTCCTCATTGCTCTTGCAATCTTAACGAATGTTCATGAGTTCTCAGAATAAAGGCAGATAGGGCTCTGGGCACCTCATAGGGTGATGATATGAAAAGTAACAATTTGAAGGTATACTTGGCTGTGGCTAAATGAAAACACTTGAGATTCATTCTGGACAAAATTATAAAAAATAGACCATCCTTGGTTCACTTCAGAGAAAATCATCCCAAGTAGAAAAGCAAACAAAAAACCAAAAGGAAATCGCCTTATGGGAAGAGGACAGGGAGATGGGAAAGTTGGAATGGAAAACTATTAATTTTCATTATGCTTATCTCTGTTTTATAATTTAATTAAAATATACTATTTTTAATTTACATGGGCAACAAAGCCAAAACATTTTAGAGATTTATTTATTTATTTTAGAGAGTGGGACAGAGAGAGAGGGAAAGAGGGAATCTCCAGCAGGCTCCCTGCTGAGTGTGGAGCCCAACATGGGGCTTGATCCCAAGACCATGAGATCATGACCTGAGCCAAATCAAGAGTCAGACACTTAACCGACAGAGCCACCCAGGTGCCCCAAAGCCAAAACAGTTTAAATATCCAGAAAGTGTAATGTGTGTCCTCCTAGTCCAAGTTAAACATTTGATTTAGATTGTCTTGTAGTTTTCATAACATAACAAGTGCATTTTTCCTAATCTTCATACGAGAATGTGAAGAGTGCAGTTCATAGTCTTATTATACTTATATATATTTTTAAGATTTTATTTATTTATTTGACAGAGAGAGAAAGAGCAAAAGAGCACAAGCAGGGGTAGCAGCAAAGGGAGAGGGAGAAGCAGGCTCCCCGCTGAGCAAGGAGCCTGACGTGGGGTTCAATACCAGAACCCTGGGATCATGACCTGAGCCGAAGGCAGATAGATGCTTAACCCACTGAGCCACCCAGGCACCCCTTATTATACTTATATTTTAAGAACTAAAACACAGGGCTTTTTCTCTTCCTGGCTCTTTATTAAAAATCAATTTGAGGTTCTTAATTATTATAATTTAATTGAAATATAAAACAAAAAGATGTGTCAATATAAATTTGTAAAGATGTATATGCAATAGTTTTAAAAAAGGGACCTGGGTTTTGATATCTGTGAGATTAGGAAAACCCCATCCTGGTCACAGACATCAGACCGTACTGTGTTCCCACGCTTCTCAGACACAGTCAGAACCCCCTCAGTTAAATGGGTTGCTCCCTCCCCCGACAGAAAAAGGGAATTGTTCAGTATTTCACACCTAACTTTTAGGAAAAAAGTTTGGGGTTGATTAGAGATTAAGATCTTCAATTTACATCTCAGTGACTTTTTACTGGTGGATAACCATAAGGCAAGAAAGATGTGTAGGATAGAAAAATAAGTATTTCAAATTTATGTGATCAGGCTTGGATTCCGTTTACCCTTGCAAAATCTAAAAACAATCAGATGGGAACCACTATTTGGACAAAGATTCAAAATTATTCTACAGAACTCAGGACCATCAAGAGAAGAACACAAATATGTTCCCCTCTAAAGTCTGATGATACACATGAGGAAGCTGTCTGATGACACTTTAAGCTCTGAATTAAAACATATAGATATGTATATATAGATATCTAGAAAGAACTAAGTTCCAGAAAAGTAAAATGAAGATGGGACTTCCCAATTTACTATGCCTTACAAAGAACTGAAATGACATTGATATAGGTCATTTGATGCAAATTATTTTATTTGAATTTCTGCAAAGAAAATTTACAAGAATATGTGCATAAAATATATTAAATTTAATATTAAACATATGCATTAAATCACAACAGTACTGAAATTCTTTACCTTGATTCATTGTTATTACAGATATAGGTGAACAAATTTCACCAATTTTAAAACATTATTTCAAATATATGAAAATTGTATCACAAGACATGATTTGAAACATTTTACAGATCCCAGAAGTAGATAATTAGCAATAATATAAGAGGTAAAGTCATGTTCTTATACTACTGAATCTTCACCACCCGCCCCTTCCACTCCAAGAAACACTAAATAAGTCTTTGTTCACATATAAAATGAGATTTTTCATCACAGGATATATCTAAAACACTTTGTCTTGCATTATAGATTACGCATTTCTCCGGACTTAATTTTTGAACTAATGGCAATCTGTAATGAAAAATAAAATGTTAACATATGAGAAAAGGAAATGAGAATATCTAGGGATTGTGTTTTTTATTAAATGATAGAATTTTTTAAAGCACTTAAATGAGATATTAACATATTGAGTCAATTGATTTTTATTCAAGAGCCATGTTTTCACAATTTCAGAGCACAGTATTACAAAAACTCAGCTATTGCCTCACTTATCAACAGCATTAAGGCCAAGGATTTTGTGTTTTTGCTGTTGTTATTAATGGTTTTGATATATGGTATACTTCTATTTTGTTTAAAAATGTACTTGATAATCTAGCCTGGGAAAACAAATCCAAGCATAAGATTCATCATTGTCTGATGCTGCACATCCAACGTTTATGAATGACAATGAGAACTAAAGATTACAAATATACAGAAAATAAGCTCAGAATATTTGAAACACGGGAGTATACTGAAAATAACAGGCTCAAGAAGAGTAAAGAAAATATAAATATTCTATTTTCCCTGGACAGCTTCTGTGAAGATAAGCATCTGTACATGCACATACACATCCAAGTGCTTATACAAAGCAACAACAAAAAAAAGTCAAAAGCTGTTTAATGGTCACAAGTACACTAACTTCATGTCACTTGAGCATAAATTTGGATGATCTAGACGGAGCTAAAATTGTTAGATCTCCTTCTTTTCTGTATTTTCATGCCTTAGACAGGATGTCCTGGCTACAGTGCTCCCAAATGTTACAGTCTCTGGTGAGATCTACAAATAAACTCATAAAAAACTAAAAAGACCTTAAAAAAAAAAAAAGAAAGAAAGAACTAAAAGGAAACTTGGCTGCCAGAAACTTACAGATCTTGGGAGACACTGGAGCCATCTTCCCACAACCAGGCATCACATTCTTTATGGTAAGAGAGTCCAATCCAGTAAAAATATTTAATGGAGCTCATAAAATGCTGATTGGAAACAAAGACAAACACATTAATCAAACTTGAATCTATTCTGGGAATAATGTACTTTGAAGAAAGTATCAGCATTAGATTTAGCTTTTTAATCACACAAACTGAAATAATTTTTAATGTCTAGTTTAGAAAGTATAGTCACATGCCTCATATTTCTTCCTTTTCTTCCTTATGTTATTTATTCACTAATTTCCACAAATACTCATTTAAGATATAGAAATAAATGCCACAAAATATCACTTCTTAAAGGAATAAGACATTAGAAGGAAGTAAGAGTTTTCATGGAACACCTCCTTCAAAGAGATTAAATCAAATTTGATCCCACATCAACAGTATCTTGAGGATAGATTTCATAGATATAGTCTACTTAACTTATACTCAGGACAGGTTCTTCTTGCAGCTAGAGAAATTTTTCACTTTTTCTTAAATTGGGTAATTTTTTTATCATACTGTCCGTACTTATCACACATTATATCCCAGAGTGATGACAAAAGATATAATTACAAAAGAAATTATAAATTTAATTAATGAACTAAAAATTATGAAGTTATTTTATTAGTCTTTGAATAAAAATAATGGCCTATTATTCATTCTTTGAATTCTCTCTAAAATGTTCCTTGTGCTTTATCTGGAATGTAACTTGATTTTTATTCCTATAATATAAATCTTTGAGAAATTTTTGTAGGTTTTATAATGATTGTTTCAAGATCAGGTCGAAGAAAAGGTAGGAAACCAGAATTAAATACATGCCAATTTATCTCCGTTTTCAATCTGAAGTAGACTGGAATTCTGAGACACACAGAAATCACGACTTTCTTTCCAGGTTTTTAATTCACCAGAAAAGAAGTAGCAGTTGCAGTGGTACCCAATCCACCTTTCTGGGCAAGAACAACAGCTAGAGCCTAAGAGAAAAAACAAAACAAAAAACAAAAAACATGACTTATGACATTCAGTTTTTTCAATGCTATTTACTCATTCAAAAATCATTTGTTATTTCTTCACTATTTTCCACAAATATTCTTTGAGAATCTACTACACATACCATAGTTCAGGGGCTATTAATGTGAACAAGTCAGACATAACCCTTTTTCCTAATAGAGATTATATTCGAGATATAGAGTCAAAACTATATAATTTCCAATCATTTATCAATTATATTTAATGATAATTTTGGTAAGTATACACAAGAATAAGTCAGTATGTTGAAACATTGGGTAGCGGAGTATAAATTGGAGGGTGGCTAAAGAAGCTTTTTGAAGAAGTGACCCCAAATTGAGCTCTGTTGTGTAAATAGAAATAAACAGATTAAAGAGATATTTAAAGGGAAATATTTTAGCATATTTCCTGAGTCAGAAAAGAATATAGCACAAATTGGAGAGTTCTGATGTTTGGATATTTTATTTTCAAAATAGAGATAAATAAAACAATTAGCTTGAAGTCTAATACTACAGTTTACCAATGATGGGTCTTGAACATTTACTATCCTCAGTGATAAAAGTCGAGAGACATGGTAGGCACTCAAATCTTTGTCAAGTGAATGGTTCTGAAGTGCAAGGTGGAATGGTAGTTACTAGGAGCTGGAGAGTGGGGTAAATGAAGAAATGTTGGTCAAAGGGGACAAACTTCCAGTTAGAAGGTGAACAAGTTCTGGGGATCTAATGCACGCAGTTATGATTATAGTTAGCAATAGTGTATTATACACTCCAAGTTGCTAAAAAAGTAGATCTTGAATGCTCTCACCATAAAAAAAGAAATGGTAATCATGTGACATGATAGAGGTATTAGTAAATGTTATGGTAGTAATCATATCGCAACATATAAGTGTATCAAATCAATCTGTTGATTACTTTAAACTTACACAGCATTATATGTCAGTAATATCTCAATATGGATGGAAAAAATGCAAAAGGGAAAAAGATAAATAAATATGATCACAGAAGATGGTGAGACCATTTGGAGACCATTTGGAAAAAATACCTTAAAAAATTGGACTTTGAGCTGGCTTTCACTGGATAAGTAGGGTTTAAAATAACAGAAATCTGTGCACTATATTCTGAGTCATGCAAGAAGCAGAAGCAAAGGTAAAGAGATATAAAAGTATGAGCTATGAGCAAACCAGCAGGTAATTAGGATTAACCATAGTACTTACTGTAACATATTTGTTATATAAACATGAGCACTCATATAGGAAAAAAATGTCATTTCAGGCTAATATTTTCCTTATTACTTAAATATGTAAATGATCCATGTTCAATGTAATTTAATGCTTTTTACATTAGAGAATAATGAAATATTACTATCTTACAATTAGTAGGTAAACTTGTGTTACCAAGTTTACTATTCCATTATGCTCTGTGTGAGAAAAACAAGAAACTATTTCATCCTCTACCAACACTAAGGTTTTCCCAAGTGTGGAACCTACCTTTCTGGAGTTCTGTGATTGCATCTGGAGACAATGTTGGCTGAATACTTTGTTTAGGATATACTGTAAGAAATGATTAAAAATTTACTTCATTAGATACAAGCTTATGAAATAATAAAATATTACACATTAATAAAATGAAACCTTTAGTATTAAATGGTTTCACCACAGTTATGGTCTTTATACAAACTTGCCTAGAAAACTTACAATCTTTCAACAAAATTCCCATAGTAGCCAACAAAAAAAGGCAGATTACTCCTAAGATCCCAGAAATCAAATTCCACGGAGTGGTCTGAGAAACTGTAGTGAAAGAGAGATACAGTGGTTATTTAAAGAACAAAGGCAGGAGCTGAAGATCTTAAAAGCAACACAGTGAGAGAGAATCCAAAACATTCTTTGGTTTGATAACCCAATCATCTTGCCAATGAAACACTGGAAAATGAAAATATTCCCATCAGAACTAGCCCCAATACCCAAATTTTTATGTGGTGTAATTTATTCATTACCGAGATTATCTATAACTTTTCTCCTTTACCAGTCCTGTCCCAGTAAAGTGGACTTACCATTTATTTCTTAATTCCACAAAGAAGCTTAGGGATCTGGAGTTAGAAGACATCAGCAGGCACCAGGTTGTGTTTTATGGGCTTACGTAACAGGTATTTACTTTATTTTCTCAATAAGAATCACAAGATAATATGATTCCCATTAAGTAGATAAGAAAACTTAAGGTCATTACATCAAAAACTAATGATGTATGGTGACTAACATAACATAACAAAATAAAATAAAATTAAAAAAAAAACCTTAAGGTCCATTAATAATGTTATTTTCTCCAGATACCAAAGCTAGTAAGTATCCAAGTCAGAAATCAAATGAAAGTTTGTCTACCCAGAGTCTTTTACTTAGCAAATTCTATCATTGCCACAATAGTATACTTGGCAATGTGCCCTTCTATTCATCTTAGTGCATTCTCTACCTAAGAAATGTCCGGTTGCTTGTAGCTTTGTAGAGGTTTTTTTTATAGGGAAGAGAAGACATAGGAGCACTCGGGACCTGGTGTGATGTATGGGTAATACCTTGGGGACCTGGATTCATTTCACAGTACATTAAATTATGATATATAAGCAACCATTTTTTTACAAGAACACTATGCTTTCTCATACCAAAAATTACTGCTTATTGGCATTTACCCTAAAATAATTTAAATTTAGGAGATTTGGCATTAACATTAGCATACTCCCAAAGAATCACTAACAGACAGTCCAATGTGTCAAACTATTAATCTAGGTGATTTGGGGTGGTCACAGCACAAATGGTAAATTTTTAAAAAACACTTGTAAGCATTGTCACTAATACTTGGCATTCTCTATTTACTTCGGTGCTAGCATTATGTTGTTCATAATTTAACCTGGTAAATTCAGTTTGCATTCAGAGTTTAGAGCTATCCCTGTCAGAAGCCACTCTTTAAACCTGCTGGAAAATCTTCACAAAATCATTTCTAAGTTACAGATAAAGAATCAGAAGTGGAAAGCGCTGATACATAGAAAGCCTAAAAATGTCTACTTTTTCCTAAAAACACTGCTCTGAAATTAGCCATATACCTGAGATGCCTTTTCTGTTTCATTTCATTTTTTAAAATATTATGATTCGGGCCTCACATACCTGCCATGAGAAATGTTCCAGTATCGATGCCAGCAAGGTACAATGTGTGCTTAATCAAGAAGGATGGTGTTGTGTTGGTTCACAGAGCTGAGCTGGAGGCTAAACAATCCAAAAGTCATGCATGAAGAAATTTAAAAGAAAAAAAGAGAAAAATTATTTATTTGAACAATGTTCTTGAATCTTCTATTGGTGAATGTATCATATGAACGAGAAGCAGTAAAGTCACTAGCTTCTAAAATGTTCCAGGAACCACAACACAGGAAATTACCACAGTACATGTGTAATGAAAGCCCTTTGACTATGATAAAAGAAAATGAGTGGGATTTTTTTTTAATGCGTGAATATCAAAGTCATCTTAAAACATCATTTGGAAAACACACATGTATGGTTTTCACCCTTTGAGTTTACTGGGAATCTAGGTAGATTTTTTTATCCTGTTAAATGGTTATCCTGTTTCCTTTGTTTTCTTGTCTCAAATTTCAAACCCTGAGGCTCTATCTTGAGGGCAATTTTACAAAACTGCTTTGGTGTTACCCGAGGTTAAACTCAAAAAAAGACTTTCAGGTGAGCACCAGAACTACCTGACACTTAACAAAGTATGGGAGAAAGTGGAGCCATTCTCCCAAAACCAAGTACTAAGTGAATGTCTCACCTAAGATGGTAGGGAGTTCATAAAGCCCTGGTTAGAAACACAGTGGAACATATAAAATAAATCCCAGTCCCTGCAGCCCCAATTACACAAAGAGTCATAGATTTACTTTTGCCTATGCAAATCTGGGCACATTGCATTTTGAGTAAAGTAAATGAATGCCATCAGACTCCACTATTTAACCTCATGCTCCAACATGATTTTCTCTTATAATAAGCAAGTAATCACATGACTCATTTTTCTCCCTCTCTCTCTCCCTCTCTTTCTGCCCATTCACTTATGGTTTATAAATCACCACCAGACTGTACTCATCTTAGAAGGCATCAGAACATAAATGTCTTAAGCAACACTTTCTTCCTAAGTAATTAGATGTTCCATCTTGGGACGTTTGAATTCAACGAAACTTTGTGAATAAAGCATGTGTGTATGTCTATAGTTTCTTTTTTTTAAATTTTATTATGTTATGTTAATCACCATACATTACATCATTAGTTTTTGATGTAGTGTTCCATGATTCATTGTTTGCATATAACACCCAGTGCTCCATGCAGAACGTGCCCTCTTTAATACCCATCACCAGGCTAACCCATCCCCCCACACCCTTCCCCTTTAGAACCCTCAGTTTGTTTCTCAGAGTCCATAGTCTCTCATGGTTTGTCTCCCCCTCCAATTTCCTCCCCTTCATTTTTCCCTTCCTCCTATCTTCTTTTTTTTTAATAGTTTCTAAAGTCAGCAAAAGTTTTAAATGCACCCATAGCAAGAACTTTTTTTTTCTTAAAAGGATGGACTAGTTTTTATATTCATACCTCTAATTTGGCTCCACATCTTATTTCAGAGATGCAAAAAAGCCCCATTATTTTAAAACAAATGGTAGAAATGAGTTAAAATTGTTATGATTCAAAACAGGTTTAATTGGTTGTTGAATAAAACAATGGATAAAATGAAATTCTACTCTATTTTAAGGCCACATGTTAGAATTATGATTACCTATTTTATCTCCAATCACCTAAAGTATGAAACATGAACCTAATCACTTTATTTAAATGAAACATCACCTGGTAAGAACATTGAATACATATTTTTATTCATAATTAAAACAATTTATTTTCATAGGAACACAGGTGTCTGTATTTTAGTATTTAATAATGGTCTATTTTTATTCATTGTAAATTTTTATGAGTTTCTTAACCTTTTCCCAGAAACCTGAATTTTATGCTATTCATGTAATTGGTAAGGCACCTTATGTCAGTTTTATAGTAACTATTTTAGGTTACAAGGAACAACCAGATAATTTGTTCAAATGTTCATTCAATAATCTAACAATCAAATCAAAAACATTCAGCTTAATCTTGAAGTGTTTTTCAATGTCACCCAAAGGAAAATGTGTGACACTAAGTTTGAGGAAATATTGATTCACCTCTACTCTGTAACTGAAATACACTAAAATTCTAAAATATAACAATACACCAATTCAATCAATCCTCAATCACAGGAGACCCCAGCTCTCTCTCATTTTTACTTCATTACAAAGGAGGTAGCACTTGAATCTATTCCCAATCCACTCTGGAACAGAACAGAGAAACAGAGGCGAGAGAGACAACTTCAGAAAGAAAAAGAAAGGACTCATATTAAAATTGAAATTTGAGCATGAGCTTGTAGGATAAATTGGACTTGGAAATACAGAACTGTGGTTACAGTGAGAGTAGAAAATAGACATGCTTCAAATCAATACCTAAATAAGATGGAAAAAATTCGACACACATATGTTCTTCCCATCTTTTTAAATAAAATATACATTTTGAAAAGTAATAAAAGCAAAAATTCTAATGAATTATCAAAGGCAAGACCTGCAACTACCACCCCCATCAAGAAATAGAACATTTCCAGCACCCCTAAGATCTTTCCTCACTTAAACTGGTACTACTACTCTCTTTCTCCTTCCAGATATCACCACCATCTTGACTCCAACACTATCTTGACCTCAAATGCAAACCATAGTTTAGTTTTGCCCATTTTTTAAATTTATATAACTAGAACAACATAAAATAAACTCTTCTGTTTCTAGCTTACTTTCCTCACATTCTTGAGAGAGTCATCCAAGGATCCCTCTCCATCTTGTTGACACTGACTAGCCCATATGCAAATTACTGTGGCTAGTGGATAAGACACATTGATTGATTTGAATCAGTTGGAGTCCAATTTGGACACTGGAGTGGGGTCAACTTTGCTCAAAACAAAATGAATAGTAATGATCATCTAAAGGAAATCTAAAGCACTAAATTTCTAGAAAGATGAACTTTGGGAAATTGTTGACCCCTTTCAATAATTTTTAGTTTTTGTTTGTTTGTTTGTTTTATTTCCTTTATTTTTTTCTTAAAATAGGTCTTTATGAATGAGTCTACCACTGATCAACATGTAAAAGTTTATTTTGAAGCACAAAGAGTGAACTTCTCTTATTGTGTACCAATTATAATCAATTCAAGTCCAGATTCATCAAGAAACAATGTTTTAAAGATGTGCAATGACTTCCATGAGCTTTGATTTGAAAACATTTAGCACATCCACCATCTCTGAATTTACTATTTTTTTTAAGTAGGCTCTACACCCAGTGTGGGGCTTGAACTCATGACCCTGAGATCAAGACCTGGGCTGAGATCAAGTCAGGTGCTTAACCTACTGAGCCACCCAGGTCCCATGAATTTACTATTTCTGAGGTGGAATGAATGTTTTATTAAAGAATATAACAGAATTTGACTTTAGAGAGAGGATAGTGTAGTTGAGACATAAGAAAGTGAAAAGATAGCTAGCGCTAATACCAAGAGAATAAATACACTATCTTCTGTTAACCTCTTTTTTTTCACTTTTTATGTTGCAGTGCTTATAGATTGACATAAAATTGCAAAATTAATAAGTACAGGTAGTTCCCTGGTACCCTTCATTCAGTTTTCCCCATGGTAATATTTTATACAATTAGAGTATAATATCAAATCCATGACATTGACATTCATACAATCCATAAACTATTCAGATTTCACCAGTTTTGTATGCACTTATTTGCTTGAGTGTGTGTGTATGTGTATAGTTTTATGCAATTTTGTCTTGTGTATAAATTTGTGTAACCACTATCATATAATCTCTGTTTTTATATTTTAGAAAGTAATTACCACCATTTATTTTGTTACTCTGAAGTTTGGTTGTTAAAGAAAGGACAAAGTAAATGACTGGAACTTTTCCTTTGTTTACCAATTTTCATTTTAATTGATTTAGTGGGGGAAAAATTTAACATTTATTGAGCAAATATCACATGTCTATTCTACTGTTTAATTGAATGTCTCATTAAGTGCATGAGTACACATTTACCAGTATCAGTACATTTAATCCTAGTAAAATATTTGAGTACTCTACTGTTTCATTGATGTAGAAATTTATTAATACATCAGAAATTCTGTTTTATCCAATACTTTCTCTAATGTAAAGATTAAAAAGTAAACATAGCAATAGGAAATCATTGACATTTTTCCCACCTTTGAATATTCTTGTCCTAGAGTTAAAGATCATGACATCACTTTAAATTGAGTAACCAGATTCTTACTGGTCATTCAGTTCCACCAATAGAGCTTTCTTAAGAGTTGACTAGGATT